ATATATATATATATATATATATATATATATAGGGGGCGGTTCAGGTGAGAATGCACCTTGGTGAAAGAAATAAGAATAAAATCTAGCCTTTGGATCTGATGCATCGTGCGGCTCAGATTGCATCCTGCACTCAGATTTTGAGATAGTGCATTTTTAAAGGATTTTGGTGCATTTCGACATGATGCATTTTCAAATCATTTTGGTGCACCTAATTTTGATGCAATCCTGACCCTTAGATCTCACAATCTAAAGCACGAGATTCATTCTTATTTCTTTCATAAGATTGCATTCTCACCTGATCCAAAATCTATATATATATATATATGTGTGTGTGTGTGTGTATGTATGTATGTATGTATGTATGTATATATGTATGTATGTATATATATATACATATATATATATATATATGTATATATATATATGTGTGTATATATATATATATATGTACATATATATATGTACATATATATATATATGTATATATATATATATATATATATATGGAGGAGATGGGTTTAGACTTAGAGAGAGAAAGCTCCGCCTGGTCTAGATCTCACCACCGTCGCTGGGGTTTCACATCCAATTTCAAGGTCGCCGGAGAAGGAAGAATACAAGGTAGACCAACATTTGTGAGGAATACTCAAAGAAGAGACTGGAAGAAACGAAAGGAGGACATAGATGGATGTTCGAGCTGCACAATCGTCGATTTCACCTTTGGAATCTAGTCGAAAAGGTTTGAGTTCAGATTTTCAGCCTTTAATAATCTATGTCAAATTTCTGAGGGAAGACGATGGAAAACCTTTCGTTTCTGGACAAATCTTAGAATTCTTCGCTGGTTAAGTTCCCGCTTTGAATATATTCTACTTAATCCGGTGGTAACCAATTGGAATCAGAGCCTTAGGGAGGGTAGTAGAAATTTTAGTTTCTTTCTAGATTCGAATGCATCTGGTTTTTTTGTTAAAATTGTTGAGGAACACCTGTTTGGCTATACTACCATTTTCGTACCTGAGGATATTTGCAGACATGGATTTAGACTATTCTTGGCTCACCTTAATAAGGCTGGTCATACTCTTGAGAACTGTAAGGATAAATCTATAGGTGAGGAGCAACCTCATTCTATCCCTTCATCCATTTCTAAATCTCTGTTTGATTCTGACATTGGAAGGACTCACAGTAACCTCTCTTTTAGTAGTGGTGCTATAGCCATCCAACCAGTTTCAACATTAGCAGCCAAGGAGGGGTCGTTGGTATTGAATTCAACTCAGTCTTCTCCAAATTTAGAGCTTTTTTCAGATGGTGTCAATGCTACTCAATCCTTTCCAATTGATGATCAAGATGCTTTGCAAAAACCCCTACTTACTGCAACTCCAGCTCCTTCCAAGCAAGCAGTTTCTGCCCCTTTTGATGAATGTAAGAAGGGTCTTAATGCTAATTGCTCAAATGAGCCTCCACTGAACCACACGGCCAGAGCTTTAAACATTCATGCATTACCTTTCCAGCCCTCTATTCCAGTTTTGAAGCAAGGGAAATCTATCAAGGAATTGAAAGAGTTGACAATGGAAACAGAGCAAAAGGCAAACAGTGGAGGTCTCCAACAAGGTAAGTCTCTTAAGGAATTGAAAGCATTGGCATTCCATAAGGAGGCAGTTCAAACAAAGTCGGTTACCACCAAACCCTTGGGCCTTTTAGACTTGAAGCTAATTTATGAACACTCCCCACAAATCAGCCTCATTGATATGTCTTTTGGGATGAATGGAGAAGATCATAAGAGGCAAAAGGACGGGGGAGTTGAGGTTTCTGAATTGGCACATGACAAAATTGAGTTGCCTGTTAATGATGAAGACTCTTACACTCTAGAGGCTGAAATGGAGCTTGATGCTATTCATTTGTTGGATGATTTCAATCCCAAAGGAGGTGTGAAAGGAAAGAAGAAAAAGAAGAAGTTTAACAAAAACAATAGCGGAAAAAGAAGATCTGATCTTGTTATTCTTTGTTTTCTTTTTATTTGATTTTTGTTGGCGAACTTCTTATGTTGATTTGACGTAGGCCTTGTTTGGTTTTTAGATTTGAGGAGGATTGCAGTTATCTTTTGGTTTTAGTCGGGCTTGTGTTGGGGTTGAGCCTGCCCCCTCCCTTTGTATCGTCTTTCTTTTATTTATAAATAAGGCAGAGCTTCCCTGAGCCTGCCACACCCTCGGGTGAAATATATATATATATATATATATATATATATATATATATATATATATTGAAAGAAAATTTTATTGAAGAGCAAAGAGAGGTGATACACGGGGGCATGGGCGGGATAAAGAAAATTAGTCAAGCTACACATTTGAATAAAACTCTACGACCATTGCGCCAAAATGAATCGATCCCCAAGCCCTTGAAATCTTCATCCTGGACCATCCATTTTTTGTTTCTATTTATCCATGCCCACGCTTGTAGGGATTTGAGGCATGCTTGAAAAATTCCCTCTGCCGTTGGGTTCGATGCGTTGTGGATGCTGGAGTTACGTGCCTTCCAAAGGGACCAGGTGCAAAGTCCTGGTAAGATGAGACGAAGGGTTCCTTTGAAGTGTTTGGTGTTGCTTCCGAACCACCATGCAAGGAGATGTTGGCGCAGTGTGGTGTCCTTCTTCACGCTAGGTCCATTGGCCATTATTGCAAGCTTGTTCCATACATGGGATGCTNAATTCTCTTCCAGGTGGGAGAGTCAGTGATCTTCTCCTTTATGTTTCCTGTTTTCATATATTTTGCTCTCACGAATGGTCCCCATATGCCCACATCAGTTCTTGCCTTCCACCAGAGCTTGAGAGTGTACACTTGATGTTGGTCTTCTAAGCTTTTGATTCCAAGACCCCCCTCTTTCTCAGGTTTTGTAAGTTCGCTCCACCTTATCCAGTGATATTTTTGTGCACCCTCCTTTTGTCCCCAGAGGAAATTAGCCATGTACTTGGTAAGAGTATGGATGATTGATTTAGGAAGGGTGTGCACAGCAAGAATGTGTAATGGGATTGAAGAAAGAACATGCTGGATAAGGATAAGTCTGCCCATTTGGTTCAAGGTTTTGCTATACCAGGAGTCGATGTGTTTCTCAAAATGTCCCATGATGTCCTTGCAGTGTTCTTTTCTCAGAATCCCATGACAAATAGGTGCTCCCAGGTAGGTGAAAGGGAGTTTGCCTCTACTGATTCCAATAGCCTTCTCTATATGTTGAATCTGTAAGGTGGTTGTCTTTTTGGAGGTGTAGAATTTACTTTTATTTAGGTTGATCTCCTGTCCTGATGCCTTGAGGTATGTGTCAAGTGTGAATTTGAGTTTGAGGAGGTTTCTTGAATCACCCCTGGAAAAAATCATAATATCATCTGCATAAATAAGGTGGGAAGGGAATTTGACCTGTCCTGAGTTAAATCTGAGGAGATGTGATGAGTCCATTTGCTGATTTATGAGTCTGCTGAATCCCTCTGCTGCAAGGATGAATAAAAGAGGGGAGAGGGGGTCTCCTTGTTTGACCCTCCTCTCCATTTTGAAGTATCCCGTAGGTTCACCATTGAGAAGAATGCTGAAAAAGGACCCTTTAAGATTAGCCATTAGAAGAGCTGTTGAGAGATTGGTGAAACCAAAAGCTTTAAGTAAAGCTTCAAGATAGCCCCAGTCAAGTTTATCAAAAGCTTTTTCCATGTCAAGCTTTAGAATAAGATTACCCCCAAACACCTTTTTGTCAAGATGGACAGCTTCTTGTGCCATGAGGACATGGTCATCTATGGATTTACCTTTTTGAAAAGCTTCTTGTTCCTTAGAGATAAGTTTGGGCAGAATTGTGTTGAGTCTGTTTGCAAGCAGTTTGGTATTTATTTTGCTCATGAAAGTGGAGAGAGAAATTGGCCTATAATCTTCAAATCTCTTTGGGTTGTCAGTTTTAGGGATGAGGGTCAAAAAGGTGCTTCCATAGGCTCTTGGAATAGGTTGCCCTAGAGCTGTGCATCGGTCTAAACCTGGACCGACCCGGACCAGACCGGGACCGAATAAGAGGGAAGTAATGGACCGTAGACCGGACCGACATAGTGTGAGACCGGACCGGGACCAGACCGAATAAAATTAGACCGGTCCAAACCGGTCCGAATAAGGACCGAATAAGGGGCATGCTCTATTTCTCCAATGCTCCAAACAATATACTCCAATGTTCCAAAAAATCCCAAAATCAATAGTCAATACAAAAAAGACTGAAAAAAGACTGCGGAATCGGTGGACGACTGGACGGAGACACGGAATTGATTTAAGGGATTGAAAAGATCTGAGATCTGCAGAATATTGGCTTTCCATCGATGTTTAGACTCAACCATCGCTGGTAAGCCAATTTTCCTTCAGCTTTGAAGCCAACGGTCACCTACCCATCGATGGGTACAAGCTTCCCATCGCTGGGTGGGAGGTTGACTTCCAAACAAGGAAAGAATCAACCTTAAATGACTTCCAACGGTCATGCCTTCCCATCGATGGTTTATACTTACCATCGCTGGGTTCCCATCGATGGGATAGGTTTCCCATCGCTGGGTAAGGTCGTTCTGCCTTGTGATAATTTTGCACCAAGGCTTGAACAACGATGGGTAGAACTTCCCATCGCTGTTTGGCATGGTTCTGGAAATTGGTTTGGCTAACGGACCGCTTACCCATCGATGGGAAGATCTTCCCATCGCTGGGTGGGTGGTTAGTCAAGAACCCATGGTTTTTGCCTTAACCATGGCCTAGCCAACCGATGCAAAAACCGACCGAAAAATCCAAAGTTCTCCAAAGTAAAAACCAAGAGGGTAAAACACTTATTTGATGTATTTGGCTAAGAAATCAAGTAAGACACTTTAAAAACCATGTCATTTGAGTGAAAACCACGGCTAGCCAAGTTTATGCCGTTTTGAATGATTTTTGTCAAACGACCAAAAGCGAAAGATGGTTTTCAAAGTGTTTTTGTTGGAGAACCGTTTAAACATGCCAAAGAGTGAAAACCAATCATAAAAAGTTGAAAATCACTCGGTTGGTTCGGACGCCAAAAACCATAGACGATAACCGAGAGCCGAACGCCGGTTTCAGAAACCCGAACGCTGGATGGCTTGGTTTTTGGTTTGGGCGAACACCAAGTGTTTTTAATGACTTAAACAAGTTTGAAAAACATTTTTATGATTTAAGAAATGCAGTGAAAGATTTTAGTCTAAAGAGCCAATGCGTGAGGGTTGGGTCGGTCTTGATTACAGTTGTGACCGACTCAACAATGCTAAAGACTTCAGTCTTCGTTCTTGGTCTCTTTTAGCTCTCGTTCTTTATCTTCGTTCTTCGCCTTGTATACTCAATGTATGTCTTGATCACGGTGGTTTTGCATTATCAAAACCTGTTACAAAAACGAACACGGCTTTAATACGAAAACGTGACAAGCCCGTGTTTCAACAATTTCCCCCTTTTTGATAATGGGAAACGAGATGAGGTTATGCATAGGAGGATAATTTTGAGACTTTAAAAAAAAGTTCCCCCTTAAAGGATGACATTTTATTTTAAAAAATTCCCCCTCAATTTATGCATAACTTAGATATCTTCCCCCTTTTGACATTAACAAAAAGAATTAAAAGTAAACTTTAGATTTTAAAAGTGAACTTTTATTTCTTTAAAAAAGGAAATGCAGAATACAACGGGATGGAAATGAAAAAAATACAATCATAGTAAGGAAGGAAGAGAAAGAAGAGTCTAGGCAGCGGCGTCCTCGTCCTCGGCGTCATCGTCTTCTTCGTCGTCCTCGACGTCCATGGGATCCCCGTCGACAGCGTCCTCAAAGTCGGCCTCGTCGGGGGAGGAGGACGGAGCATAGGAGTCATCCTCCTCGTCCTCGCCTTCAAAGTTTTGGCCGAGGAAGGTGCTGTCAAAGGGCGGCGGGACGTAGTTGATGCCGCGGAAGTACGCTCTCATGTCGTGGCGCTGGCGTTGTATCGACCAGTCCATCCTCTCCAGGTACTGGCCCATGCCATCTACGGTGGTGGTTAGCCGATTCAGGGTATCGGCTATGGACTGTAAGGAGGCCTTGGCGGGAGCAGGGGCAGGAGCCCGACTGGGTCCTGCGCCGGTTCTGTCACCGGACTTCTTCCGGAAGGTGCTGTCTTGGATGATCCACAGCTTCGTCATCTTCGTGTCCGGCCCGGCAATGTGGATGTCAGCGGAGACGATGAGGTCCATGTCGAGGAAGGCGTATGGCAAGCTCTGCTCGGTGGTGATGGAGGCGCAATCCGCCATGTGAATCATGACGTATTTCGCCCAATTGATCGAGGTGCTATGGGTGATAGCATGAACGACCTTGAGATCCTCGTTGAAGAGACAGGTGTGGCTACCGTCCCGGGGGCGAAGAATCCGGGTGAGGATGTAGAGTAGCAGACGCTTTTCCGGCGGGGCTGAGTGGATGGTTGGTGCGCCGCTGTGACGGATGAGGTTGGTGATTCCAAGCTCTCATATGACCACCGCCTCGTTGTTGAGAATCCAATCATCGCCACCATATGTCGCGATGTCATCACCGCGGGTGGGCAGCCCTGCGACCCGAGCGAAGGTAGCCAAATCAATCTCTATGTCGTAGAGATTGATGCTACTGCAAATGGTGTCCCCGTCCCGGTAGAGATTGGAGTAGAAAGCCCGGACGTAGGCGGGATTGTAGGACTGACGGCTTCTGGAGACGAACGGCCACAGACCCGACTCTTTGAGTTGATGGTCGAGGTCGTGGTACCCCTTTTGTTGAGGGTATAGCTCGGGCAGCACTCTTGGCGGAGAGATGGGGCGTTTGGCGAAGTGGGTGATGAAGCGAGAGAGTTCCTCTTCCGACCCAAACTCCAAGAAGGATCTGTCCAGGTACGGGAAGGGTTGAGACGCAGATGACGTGGCCTCGGCGGTGGCCTTCTTCTTGGAAGCTTTGCTCTTGGACTTTCCTTTGGCCATGGTAGTGGCGTGTAAAAAAAATGAATGAGTTGAGTAGAATAGACTTGAGCAAGGCAATTAGAGAAGATAAAAGTGTGTTTAAAATAGTTAAGGGTGAAGGGAATTTATAGGGAGAGGAGGAAAACTCATTTGAAATTTGAAAAAAAAAGCTGTTGGGCCATAAATGTTGTCTCCAACGGTTCAGAAATTTTGAATTTCACCAGCCTTCCCAGCGATGGGTAGATCTTCCCATCGATGGGAAGGGCGCTACTGGAAGGCGAAGGAGAAGGTAAGGCTGCCTTCCCAGCGATGGTAAAACTCACCCATCGATGGGAAGGTGGCTACTGGAAATCCGATAAAACGTTTTAAAAAAAAGTGTCAAATAAACAGCGATGGGAGAAAGTTCCCATCGATGGATAGGGAGGTTCTGGAAAACATGTTTGAAGCTGAAATCATTCACCCAGCGATGGGATAAAAGACCCATCGATGGGTAGGGTGAAAAAAAAAATTTGGCAAAAGTCCTTCACCCAGCGATGGGATGAAATACCCATCGATGGGTAAGGTGTTTCTGGAAATCCGTTAAAAGATTTTAAAAGAAATAGTCAATTACACATCGATGGGAGAAAGTACCCATCGATGGTAAGAGAGGTTCTGAAAAAAACACTTCCCTCCCAGCGATGGTACAGCCCACCCATCGCTGGTTCCCCCTGATTTCCAGAGCTCTACACTTCGAACCATCCCTGCAAAAAAGAGTTAGAAAACCCTCTGACGCTCAAGTTAGTGAACGTTCAAACGAAGATAAAAGAGTGATAAAATGCACAAATTAGATCATCGTGGAGTCAAGGATTCCGAGTTCACTATGAATGCGGAAGAACGACTCTTTCTCTAAAGGTTTTGTGAAAATGTCGGCTAATTGGTTGTGTGTTTCAACAAACTCAACTTCGACATCACCTTTGAGAACATGATCTCTAATGAAATGATGCCTAATGTCAATGTGTTTCATCCTTGAGTGAAGAACGGGGTTCTTCGTCAAGCTTATGGCGCTAGTATTATCACAACGAAGAGGGACGTGATTGATACTAAGGCCATAGTCCACGAGTTGTTGCTTCATCCAAAGGATTTGAGCACAACAACTGCCGGCGGCTACATATTCCGCTTCGGATGTGGATAACGCAACACTGACTTGCTTTTTACTAAACCATGAGACTAAAGAGCTACCAAGTAAGTGGCAAGTCCCACTCGTACTTTTGCGGTCCAATTTGCAACCGGCAAAGTTCGAGTCGGAGTAACCAACAAGATCACACGAAGAGCCTTTTGGATACCACAGTCCAACGTTAACCGTGCCTACAAGGTATTTCATGATCAGTTTCACCGCCGTTGAGTGCAATTCCTTCGGGCATGATTGATACCTTGCGCAAAGGCATACGCTAAACATGATATCCGGCCTACTAGCAGTAAGATAAAGAAGGGATCCGATCATACCTCGATACTCTTTGACTTCAACTTCCTTACCTTTTTCGTCTTTGTCTAGGTGGTCGGACGTGCTCATCGGGGTCGCCATTGCTTTGGCGTTTTCCATTTCGAATCGTTTTAGGAGCTCCTTGCAGTATTTGGTTTGGCAAATGAATGTGCCATCTTTCATTTGCTTGACTTGGAGTCCCAAAAAGAATGTAAGCTCACCCATCATGGACATCTCAAATTCGCTTGTCATTAACGTTGAGAATTCCTTGCACAAAGACTCGTTAGTAGCACCGAATATAATATCGTCTACATAAACTTGAACCAAAAGGATGTTATTGTTTTTACTCTTGATAAAAAGTGTAGTGTCAACCTTTCCCCTTTGGAAACCACTATCCAAAAGAAATTTACTCAAACGTTCGTACCAAGCACG